AATGAAGATTAATTTGAGAAGAAAATGACAAGCTACACAAGATAGCTGCACTACTGCACTTTACTAAACTTTGAGATAATCTTCATTCAACTCCCAGACACTCAAAAATAACTCATTTAGGATGAAAAGCTGTTGAAAACTTGATCCAAAAATGAAGCTAAAAATAAACCTCATTTTCGTTATTCTTTTCAACTAAAAATAATAATGATGTAAGAAAAAAAGGAAAAAAAAAAACGATGGTTTTAAAAAAAAAATGAATTACAGTTCTCATTTTGGAAAGCAATTCCCAATTTGCGTATGAAAAATCAAAAAAATTCTCACCTGCATAAAGCTAAGAAATTTTCCAACATTATTTTTTATTGTTATTTGAATTTTATAGTAAGGAAAGACCAGTTATGAATGGAATTTTTAGATTTTTAAAGTTTTCTTAGATTTTAGCTGTAATCATTCAAATTTTAAACCGTTTTTAAGTTCAGTTTTAAGTTTTAAATTCAAATTTAAACTTAAACTTTGTTTAAAATTCAAATTTTAAACAAAGCTCTAGTGGATTCTTGACGTTATCTGTGCTACCCATGTATTACATTATATTGTGTTGCTTTTTATCGGCCCTTTTCATGTTATGTGGATGAATTAATTTGTTTTAATCTTAAATCTAGCGAACTTTATCTCAGTTCCTGAATAAAGTACCTATATATATATATATGTTGTGTCCGATTTAGATTTCCGTCCGATTTAGATTCAATCTAAATCGGACGTCCGATTTAGATTGAACTTATCGCGGACGTCCGATTTAGATTACAGTCTATATCGGACGTCCGATTTAGATTCAATCTAAATCGGACGTCTTATATAGATTGAACAATAATATAAACATGCTTAATATATGTTCTTAAGCGTTTTCTGTAGTTTTCTGCATTTTTCAAAGGTCTTTTATTGATTACAGTCTATATCGGACGTCCGATACAGATCGAACAATAATAAACGTGCTTAATATATGTTCTTAAGCGTTTTTTTGCAATTTTCTGCGCTTTTCAAAGAATTCAAGATGTCACAATAGCATGTTCAAGATGCCACAAAGAATTCAAGATGTCACAATGTCACAACTCTGCAATTCAAGATGTCACAATAGCCTAAGCTGCAAAAATAAATAGAAATTTTTAACTCGTTCGTTGTTGTTGTTGGTTTTTTGTTGTTGTGTGTTGTAATTTCGCATCTATTCTGTTAACGCTAATAGATTGTTTCATAGTTGGGTTTTCTTTTCAGAAAAAGACAGTAACAGACCTTTGAAAAATGCAGAAAACTACAGAAAACGCTTAAGAAAATGTATTAAGCATGTTTATATTATTGTTCAATCTATACAAGACGTATTATTGTTCAATCTATATAAGATTTAGATTGAATCTAAATCGGACGTCCGATATAGACTGTAATCTAAATCGGACGTCCGCGATAAGTTCAATCTAAATCGGACGGAAATCTAAATCGGACACAACATATATATAAACAATTGATCCGCTTCTGAATGATGATTGGTTTTACTCATTGACGGTTCTTGTCATTCTTGTCAACTCATTTTGGGATTTGAGTCTGCCTCTTTACTAATACAGACTCGGTCGTTGGCCAAAACTTCATACACCCAATATACAAAATGTCACATTTTATGTCTAGTTTTCGAAAAACATCTTGGCTCGCCATCTTGAAAATCTTTTTGAAAACCATAAAAGTTACAGTTACAGGCCTGATGCCCCAAAAAAATGTGCGACCAAAGCGCCCCTGAGCGGACCCTCTTCTCAATCACCTGTCTTAAATAGTGTTGCACTTATAAATCGACCAGAAACGTTTTCTAAATCAGTTTTTCGCGAGGAATTCGAATTTCTTACTTTTAAAATCGTATCTTTTATCTAAAATTACCAAAAATGCAGCAAATACAAGTAGGGGAACTTTTGGCGCACCCTGTATATTATATTGTGTTGCTTTTTATCGGCCCTTTTCATGTTATGTGGATGAATTCATTTGTTTTAATCTTAAATCTAGCGCACTTTATCTCAGGTCATGAATAAAGTATCTATCTATTAGGTTGATGCATAAGTGTTTTTGTTCCTTTTCGTCTGCCGTTTCAAGCCAACAAATGCACCAATTAAACTACGGTTGATTTCATTAGAAAAACCAATTATTTTTCTGCAAAATAACATTAAAATGGGTTTAAAAATATTTAATGCCTGGATTTTCTTGAGAGTATGAAGTCGGGTAGTCAAAAAGGGCTAACTCGATGATGCGGTTTAGACACCTTAGCTAAAGAAAACCTATCTTCGTGTCAATAGATAAAAGATAGAGAAAAAAAAAGTTTGATATTTCGCCAAAATTTCAGAGAAATTCATTCAGCCAATTTTTCCGTAGAGTTTTTTATAGATTTTTACGAAAAAGGCGTTTTTCACTCTCGAATTTGCTTGAAAGTGAACCGAAATTCATTTAAAAAGATGCAAATTGAACAAAAAAAAACACTTTTTTTATAGAGCAAACTATAGATTAATTGGTGAATTTGTTACTTTTTAACAGAAGTACGAAAAAAACGAAAAGACTTATGCATCAACCTATTACATTATATTGTGTTGCTTTTTATCGGCCCTTTTCATGTTATGTGGATGAATTCATTTGTTTTAATCTTAAATCTAGCGCATTTTATCTCAGGTCATGAATAAAGTATCTATCTAGATATAAATTAAAGCTAACTGAGAACAAGCTAACTGAGAAGCTTTTTATGGAACGCTTAGAGCCATCAGCCCTTTTCATGTTATTTATATGCTCTCCTGTGTTTTAATCTTAAATCTAGCGCACTTTATATCAGTTCTTGAGTAAAGTATCGATCTAAACTTAATTAATATGGCTTTTGTTACTTTATTTTTGTTTATTAAGAACTTTAGCAAAGAGCTTTTATGAGTGAAAGATCCCACAGACTTCTCATCGACTCCATCATCGACAAGCTTTTATTTTAATCTTAGATATTGATTTTAAACTTTATATAAGATGTTACTAATTGTGTATTTTATAATTTACATATTTTTTAATAATTCTCACTAGATAAACAACACCAAAATGTAAATAAAATCTAAAGAGAGTTAAATAACTTGACCCTTTAAACTAAAGTTTGTGTATAACTCTCTATAGCGGCAGGCAAACTATCCCTCTTTTTCGAGATTTATTCAAAGTTATTCCCACGGTTAGTTCAAGGAGAGGTTCTTTCGTTTTAGAAATTCCAGTCATCTCCAATAAGTTTGTTTATAACTCTTTTCCAATAATAACTCCCAGAATTTGGAATCGACTCGAGTTTTGAGAGAGTCCAATAGTCTCGAAACCTTTCAATTATCTGTAGATGTTCTTGATCTTGAAGCTCTAGTGGATCCTTGATGTTATCTGTGCTACCCATATATTATATCCATTATAATCGTGTTGCTTTTTATCAGCCCTTTTCGTGTTATGTGTATGAATTCATGTTTTTTAATCTTAAATCTAGCGCACTTTATCTCAGGTCCTGAATAAAGTATCTATATAGCCAATGATCGTTTTCCACATTTTAGAATATCCAATGATCTTTCTTTTGTGCAGTTCTTGTTTTTCAATTGATTTTTTCGGAATATTCACCAGAATCACTTTTCTACTTTTTTATATCATTCTTTCTTTCTTCTTTCTTCCTTTTCTTCTTCCTTTTCTTCTTCCTTTTTCTTTTTTTAAAAAATAATCCTCTTTTTACTGAACTTTTCGATGAATCAAGTGAAAAAAAGCGTTTCTTAGACTTCCGCTGTGGCGCATTTATTGGGTTAGCGCTGAAATTAGAGATTAAGAGAGGAAAACCCCCTGAAAACACGTATTTATTATGCTCATTCTTGAAAAGTTTGTTATAGATTAGATTTCTAGAGAATGATTCCGGTTGGGCTCAACTAGTTCACTAAAATTTTCTGGATACCGAATTTCCTCTAGTAAACCCCCCCTCCCAAATTTAGACGCCTCATATTTAACCCCATTTGAAGGTATTTTTAAGTTTAAGATACCAAAAGATAGAAAACGTTAAGGGCTATCTTTTGGTATATTAAACATAAAAATATCTCAAAATCGGACTAAGAACGAGGTGTCTAAAGTTGGCCGAGGCATCTAATAAACGTCTCCACTCCCCCAACTTTAAACACCTCTTTCTCAGCCCCAATTTGCAAGATTTTTATGTCTAAAATACTAAAAGATAGAAAACGTTAAGGGCTATCTTTTGGTATATTAAACTTAAAAATATCTCGAAATGGGACTAAGAACGAGGCGTCTAAAGTTGGTCGAGGGAGGGGATTTATTAGAGGAAATACAGGAGTTAATTCAGTTAGTTTTTGTTGGTCAGTGGATCACTTTTAGCTTATTTAAGCTTACCTTAACCTTTAAATCTATTAGTAACAAGTCTTTTTTACCTAAAATTCATCACTTTTCACTACTTATTTGAAGATTTTCATTTTCACAACGGGTTTTTGAGTTTTCAATCATTTTCTGACTATAGTAGCTAAAGTTTTTACAATTTAGCTAATATAATTACTTATTTTTAGCTTGATTGAGAGTTTAGACTTGATAGCTGAAGAACTGAAGCAACTCATACCTCGAAAAGCCATTAGTCACCAATTTCTTCAGACTTCTTCAGACTCCTTCCTTGATGTCTCTTCCTTGATGAGAATTTCGTGAAAAATGAACCTCTGTCCGTGTCGATCTTTGCCTTTTTCTTGGTCTTAGCATTAGGAAATTGAAATTGCAAAAAACCACTCAATTCCCTATTCAATTTTCTGTTAGCTTTTAAAATTCTTCTAAAATCTTGTTTCTTTTTTTGAGTCCACATCGAGTTCCGCAATTTGCATCTCATTTTCTCAAAAACCTTCCTCAAAAAGCTATTTTCGAATCTGTTTTCGAGTTTTTGCTTTAGAAATTATTCTAATTTTGAAAAAAAGTTTAGAATTCGAAAGAGGAGCTTGTTCTCGATGGGTTGTGCTTGTTCAACTGATGATCCTTACCAGAATGAGTTGGTGAAGAGTGAATTAACATGTGAGTTAAGAAAATGCTAGCAAACATTTCTTTACAAGCAAATCATCTAGAATAAATCATTCAAGTTCTTGACTTTCGTTGACTTCTTGACTAAACTTCAAGTTCAATGACTTTATCAAGTTGTTAAGTACTCAATCACATTAGTGAAAGGCTTTTCTTCGACTTGAAAACATTAACCAAGTTTGCATCTAGTTTTCTATAAAGTTACCTGTCTTAAATCCTTATCTAATTCTTCTGATTGACAATTTAGATATCCTTTTCTTAATCTTTACTTTACAAATTAGATAATCTTTATTTTACTAGATAATCTTTACTTGACATCTTAATAAAATCATTACTTAAATAGATAATTATAGGAACTCTAGACTCAAAGTTTCAGCCAGTTCTAGATCCTTAAAAACTTTGTTTTTGATTTCAGAACTCGTGTAATTTTTTCTATTTTTAAATACCGACATAATCCAAGCAAAAGACCACAAATTAGTCATTCCAATCAATCTTTATTCTTCACTATTTAGTGGAAAACCCAGGAGCGAAGGATTGTCGCGTCTCACGAAAATCACTGATCCATAAAGAATCGGTTATTTTGGGTAAAGGAATGACAAATGCTCATTTGGCTGTCGCTATGCTTCAGGTAACCGATGAATGACTAAGAAATGGGAAGGGGTAAACGGGAAAGGATATAAGGAGCAGAGAATGCTTTGTGAAAGCAGAAGTCTGAACCCAAATCTTCAAATTTTCCGATGACTTTTGTGCACACTCGGAGATGTTCGGTAAATGATTTTTTTAAAATACTTAAGGATTTAATAATGCAAAGATCCTTTCAAGAATTGCTCACACGAATTTTACTTGTACAATTGTCTGTACTTGTACTTGTACAATTTGTTCAGGCGAACAAAGCGGCAGCGATGATCACAACGGGGAGTCCTTTCACAAATGAACTCGAGTATGAGATAGCACAAAAGTAAGTGATTGAAATTAAAGACAAAATAAAACTCTGTTAAAAAAAAAGCGTTAAACTTGAAAGATCTTTTTTGTAAAAGCTCGACTTGAATTGCTATTTTAACTGAAATAATTAAATTTTTATGGATTTTAAATAAATCTTAACAGATTTATATAAAGAATCTAAATTTTCAGAATTATTCGAAAAGCAAAAAATGAAGGTTGCACGGTTTCTATTGTGAACGCTTGTCTCTACATCGATTACAAATTCGTTGGGATGTTGCCACCAGAAATGGCCTAATAACAATTCTATAGTTGAATATCTTTATATTTCTTTTATAAGATCTATACTTTACTTTCAGAGTACCGCTCTTCAGTGTCGCCCTAAAAGTATAAATCCTGAGCCTGAGCTGAGCCTGAGCCTGAGCTGAGCCTGGGCTGAGCCTGAGCCTGAGCTGAGCCCTGAGCCTGAGCTGAGCCGGGGCTGAGCCTGAGCCTGAGCTGAGCTGAGCCTGAGCTTGAGCCTGAGCTGAGCCTGAGTGTGGGGACACTTTTAGGGTAACACTAGGGCGAGACATAGGTTCGGTCGGTCGCTCTTTGCACTCCAACGTAAACGAAATCGATCTGGCACACCCAAGTCCCAATTTTCCCAATACCAAATAGCTGCTACGAGAAAAATGATGAATTGCATGTGCCAGATCCATTTAGCTTACGTGAGAGCGCAAAGAACGACCGACTGAACCCATCTCTACCCTTGGTGTCCCCTTGCCATTGGCAATCTGCGGTATTTTACAATTTTCTCGCTATCTACTGGATCAATTTTTATGATTTTTGTACCATTCAATGCGTAATTTTATTCTCCGTCGAATGATATAAAAATCATAAAAATTGATTCAGTAGATAGGGAGATAATGGCAAAAATACCGTAGATTGTCTAGCAAATGGGACACCAGGAGGGCACTGGAGGGCAGTACTCTGAAAATATAATCCTTATAAAGTTTTCTTAAATGCTTTTTAAACAACACTTTACTTATTAGTTTAACTTTTGAGAAAATTTCTTTTTTTTTATCGCTTCTTTAACGCCTCACAACTTAAAAATACGGGTAATTTAGTCAATTTTTTTAAAATTTTAAAATGTTCTCCTCTTAAAATGGGTTTTCTTTGACAATTTTCTTTGTTTATTTTAATAAATAATTTATTAATGTTCATTTTATGACCCGATTATGACTAATTTACAATGAAAATAAAAAGAAATAAAAAAAAATTATAGAAACTCTAGACTCAAAGTTTCAGCGAGTCTTAAGGATCTAGAGATCCTTAAGAACTTTGTTTTTGATTTCAGAACTCGTGTAATTTTTTCTATTTTTCTTTTGAAGAAAGTGCTCAAACTGTCACATATGACAATAGCCGGCAGTTTTCAATTCACCAACCCAATAGTTTTCTATTGGGTTTTCTATAAAGTTACCTACCTTAAATCCTTATCTAATTCATTTGATTGACAATTTAGATATCCTTTTCTTAATCTTTACTTCACAAATTAGATAATCTTTATTTTACAATCTTTACTTGACATCTTAATAAAATCATTACTTAAATAGATAATTATAGGAACTCTAGACTCAAAGTTTTTTTGATTGCATTAACGGTCGTCTTGCTATCCAGCAACTCCCAGTACAAGTGTGTGAGACAAGTGTGAGACTCAAAAATGGAGGACCGGAGATGTCCCAGTTTGAGCTCTTTCTTCAAAAGAAACACACTTTGGTGTCAATGGAAAAGTTGTAGAGAATCAAAAATCAAGCTTATAGCCAGATTTCCAAAAAGATACACTTAGTAGTTTCGCTTAAAATGCAAGTTTTGTGAAAATTCGTAAATTTCGGCATTTCTTGAAAACCAGTTTTTGAATCGTTCTGAAAATTTGGATATAAGCTTTATTTTTTGATTCTCTACAACTTTTCCATTGACACCAAAATGGGTTTCTTTTGAAGAAAGTGCTCAAACTGTCACATATGACAATAGCCCGCAGTTTTCAATTCACCAACCCAATAGTTTTCTATAAAGTTACCTGCCTTAAATCCTTATCTAATTCATTTGATTGACAATTTAGATATCCTTTTCTTAATCTTTACTTCACAAATTAGATAATCTTTATTTTACTAGATAATCTTTACTTGACATCTTAATAAAATCAACTACTTAAATAGATAATTATAGGAACTCTAGACTCAAAGTTTCAGCCAGTTCTAGATCCTTAAAAACTTTGTTTTTGATTTCAGAACTCGTGTAATTTTTTCTATTTTTAAATACCGACATAATCCAAGCAAAAGACCACAAATTAGTCATTCCAATCAATCTTTATTCTTCACTATTTAGTGGAAAACCCAGGAGCGAAGGATTGTCGCGTCTCACGAAAATCACTGATCCATAAAGAATCGGTTATTTTGGGTAAACGAATAACAAATGCTCATTATAACTTATAAATACGGGTAATTTAGTCAATTTCTTTTAAAATTTTAAAATGTTCTCCTCTTAAAATGGGTTTTCTTTGACAATTTTCTTTGTTTATTTGAATAAATAATTTATTAATATTCATTTTATGACCCGATTATGACTAATTTACAATGAGAATAAAAAGGAAATAAAAAAAAACAATGAAAATGAAAGGCCATATAATAAAAATATCACAATTTTATAAAAAAAAAAAACTACATTTTTATGACTAATATAAGTTTTTATTCATAGAATGAGATCGAAAATAATAGATTTTTTTTTGAGATCAAGTGATTAACGAGATAAAGCCATAGAAGAAAGCAACTAGATACGAGATAAAGCCATAGAAGCCATATTAACGAGATAAAGCCATAGAAGAAAGCAACTAGGTCAAAGTTAAAGCAGCTTCAAATACTTAAAATCCATACATATAGTTTTGAAACTGAAACTGAAACTTGAATTTACTAAAAATCTATTATAATATGCATGTTTTATAGGAAATTTGAGTCAACGGTGAAGGCACGACGAGCTTTCCGAGAATAGCTGTCAGATCGGCCAGGACTTCCATTACTTGAGGTTCTGAAAAATCACAGAGTAATGTAAAGTACTTTTGATTGGTTTTACAACTAATTTACATATGAATAACTGCTCCAGTTTGCTCAAATCTACAATTAAAAATGATTTTTGCGACTTGAAAGACTTGAGACAGCTGGCAGAGCTTGACGTGGCTTCATTAAAACTTCATTATAGTTTCATTCAAGCTTCATTAAAGCTTTATTCAAGCTTCATTCAAGTTTCATTCAAGCTTCACTTAAAGCTTCACTAAAGCTTCACTAAAGCTTCATTAAAGCTTCATTAAAGCTTTATTAAAGCTTCACTAAAGCTTCATTAAAGCTTCATTAAAGCTTCATTAAAGCTTCATTAAAGCTTCATTAAAGCTTCATTAAAGCTTCATTAAAGCTTCATTAAAGCTTCAAAGCTTCATTAAAGCTTTCTCTTCTAATTCTCAATCAAATCTGGATCAAATCATGAATCGAAAATCACTCCAGAATCAATTCTGAAGTTTTGTAGAGATTTTTGACCTGTCTGGTTTGCTACTTTGTAAGCTTTGTAAGCTTGCTACTTTGTAAGCTAGGTTATAATCATGTTTTGTCTTGGGTAAGGCTGGTTACGATTAGGTCTAAAGGATTGTAACCGATTAACCTTCCCATCCACTAAATTTCTTCTTAAATTAGCATCAAATACAAACAAGGAGCTTTAAAGCAAAACATGCAAAATCTTCTTGAAAATGACTGCACTTACACTTGATGAGAGTATGTTTGATCGGTTGTTGATTCAGCTCCTTCGACAGCTGGGTTTTCCTCGAAGAACACGACACTGAAAGCAAGAAAAACGGTGACTCAATCAAAGCTTTGAATTGATCAAAACTTAGTTTTAAATTCATTACATCTTTTAGCGTATTTCCTCTAGACTCCACTTTTTAAAAGACAGTTATTTAAGAAAAATAATGTAAACAAGGGAACAAGGAAAAATAATGTAAACAATTCAAGCTTTCTCTTCTAATTCTTAATCAAATCTGGATCAAATAATGAATCGAAAATCACTCCAGAATCAATTCTGCAGTTTTGTAGAGATTTTTGACCTGTCTACCTGTCTACTTTGCTACTTTGTTTATTATAATTGACTGAGCTTGAACTGAGTCAAATGATTGTTCGACTACAGTATTGTTCTGAAATAAGTGAAATAAATGGTATGGTAATAAAAAGAAACAAAATCCAACTAATACAATAGCTTTAATTTCTAAAAATGCTTATAAACATCTATCGTAAATACTGTAATAGTGCCCCCTCCCCATAATGACGGTGCGGAGTGTTGCGTAGTCTAGCTTTGAACGAGTTTTTCTCGAGACTGGTTTATGCTACGATGGGCGTTTAGGTATCAAAAAATAGCTGAGATTCAGGGCTATTTTTTGATACCAAAGACACATTTTTGGAAGCACGGGCGCTTTGAAAAAAATGAAATACTAAAAAACTTTTGCGACTACGCGACTGTACGAGGGCGGTGAGGTACTATTACAGTATTTACGGTAAGTTTCTTTAAAAACTTCAACAAAAGCTGCAAGTGATTCAATAAAACAGTGCAAAATGAAAATGAAAACTTCTATAAAATTTACCGTGATGAGCAATTCCCGTGATGAGCATAATGATTTCTGACGGCTCTCTGTAAGACTTCAATCTGAGCTCTCATCTCCTCATGAGCCGACAAAAGTTTCTGCATCGAGCTGTGCATTTCAGCGACTAACTGAAATAATCAAATTTTATTTATTTCGATTTCCTTTTTGAACTACTGTCAACTATTTTGTTATCTTGAATTTTAAGGAAAAATAGTGAAAGGATTTGGGGAGAGAAAAAACGAAAAGTTCTAATGGGAATCGTTTATAAAATGAAACCGCTTCATTAGCCGGTGTTTGGACGACCTGAAAGTGTTTGAAAAATTGCAAAAAATCTAGCTAACTCACTCTTGTCACTTGTTGAGTGTTAGCTGAGTTGTTTTCGCCAAAGACGCGGATCTCATTCTTGATTGACCGGAATCTGAATGTTATAAGCTTTGTCGTGATGTTATGGACTTTATTCTAATGTTATGCGCTTTATTGCAATGTTCTAAGCTTTGTTGTATGCTTTGTTGTAGACTATGAGCTATACAATATCTCCCCCTTTCAGACTTTCACCGTTTAATTTCTTTACCGGCTTCTTTACCGGCTCTACGGATCCTTGAAATAAATCAAAATTCCCAGCTTTACGGCTTATAGCTCAGCTATATTTCAATTTAAATTTAAACTAGTTTTGGTTTAACAGGTTAGAAAATTTATACAAAAAATAGCCAAATTTAAGGCAAAAATTCCCAAAGATATGGGAATTGGGCAAAAAAAATGGACTCAATCGCTCACCGCTCCTTCTGCTTCTCCTTTACAGACTCTAAAAAACAAGCCTCAACAGATTCTTGATTCAGGTTCGTTCTAGACAAAAATATAATGGTTCAACTGGCTATACTCACTCAAAAATCTACTGGTTTTGTGTTTAGAAAAGTTTTCAAAGCTGCCGTTTAATTATAAAAGTTATAAAAGAAAATTTATACCCAAAATAGCCGAATTTAAGCCAAAAATTCCCAAAGATATGGAAATAGAGAAAAAGAATCGGCTCAGTCGCCGCTCCTTTTCCTTTACAGATTCTAAATGGCAAGCCTAAAGAGATTCTTGATTTGGTTCGTTCTACAGAAAATATACTAGTTCAACTGGTTATACTCGTTCAAAAATCTACTGCTTTTGTGTTTAGAAAAGTGTCAAAGCTGCCGTTTAATTATAAGGTTTTTCAATAGTAAAGATGCAAGAATACATTAAAAGTTTGCCTCTAAAGCTCTTCAATTAAAGTTTAAAAAAAGGAGAAAAAATTTGGAACGCTTCACGAATTTGCGTGTCATCCTTGCGCAGGGGCCATGCTAATCTTCTCTGTATTGTTCCAATTTTAGTATATGTTCATAGGAATGAACGAGGCGGTTAGAAACGAGATCCTTTTTATTGCCCTCTGTCCGGCCGTGTGCTAGAAAGGCCGCGATTACGTGTTCGCACAAAAAGCACTTTGCAATCATTTGCTTGGTTTTCTTTTCAGTTTTCTTATCTTTAAGATGAGTTTTGGATTTAAAAAATTGTACACAAGGGTTTTCTGGGTCGAGGAAGTGATTGGCAATGTTTGTAAATAGGTAATCAATCGGAATTTCGACAAAAATGAAGATCATGTGGCACAGTCTGAGTTAGACTTTTTACTCTGTCAGAGTCCTAGGCGCTCAAAACTTTGTATGGAATTTTAAAAATCATCCTTCGAGTTTAGAAGCAGATTTCCCAGATCCCTTGCAAGGCAGTGGTTGGCGAGTGGTAGTCGGCTAGAATACAGGGCAAGCCCTCTCCGGTTTGAATCAGCACTTCGATTTTTTGTCTTTTTTTAGAGGCCTGTCACCCTCGGTGGCCTTATTAGTAATTTCTATTTCTACAAGCCCAGAATGCACTAACGATACAAACGAACCTATGTATAGCGTGTAAAAATCGGCGTTGATGAAATCTCAGCATACCATCGGCACTTGGTTCACTTGATTGCAAACATTTATGAATGTACCAAGTGTGTTGGAGAACCTGAAGGTGGGAAATCAAAGTTATTCAATTGGTAAATCAAAATCATAAACAGTTTTGATGTGACTAACCCTTGCTGCAGCATGCTTATGTTCTCTTGTCAACTTCGAATCATTCATGAAATTGTTCACATTTCGTTGTCCTTGCGAAAGGAGGATGTTCCGAGAAATGACTGCTATCAGAATTGAGGAAATGATGGCTCCCTGGAAATATTCTTGATATTATCGATAATAGATAAAATAGACTATTTTCTGGCTTACTATCTTTGCAGAAAAGCAGTAAATTAAAGCCTATTTTATCTAATACTTTTACTCACCACAACTCCGACAAATATGGCGATAATTCTTCCGGCATGCGTTTGAGGCACAATGTCTCCATAACCATTCAACATAAATGTGATAGCTGAAATTCTATATATTCTCTGATAGAATTAAAGTTGATAAATCAAAGGTAAAAGCTTCTTTAAGAGTTTTGAATATCAAATTTCCTAGAATTTCTATTGGCAAAGGATTGGCAAAGGGCCTTGGAAAGAAATCGAAAAGAATATACCGTAAATACTGTAATAGTACCCCCTCCCCATAATGACGGTGCGGAGCGTTGTGTAGTCTAGCTTGGAACGAGTTTTTCTCGACACTGGTTTATCCTACGATGTGCGTTTAGGTATCAAAAAATAGCTGAGATTCAGGGCTATTTTTTGATACCAAAGACACATTTTTTTGAAAGTACGGGCGCTTTGAAAAGAATGAAAGACTAAAAAACTTTTGCGACTACGCGACTGTACGAGGGCGGTGGGGTACTATTACAGTATTTACGGTAAAAACTTCAATCTATTCAAGCATTCAAGGAATTTAATCGAATCTTAAACAACTTTTATCTATCAGCTTTAGTTTTAAAATTTAAAATCAACTATTTTATCAACTATTTTATTAATGTTAACTTTTAACACTAACCAATAAACCATAACGCATTTGAGTACATGATTGAGGGCACTTCAGCTTGTTCTTTATTTCCATATCTAAAACAAATCTTTAGTTAAAGCATTTAACTAAGCAATACCGTTCACATTGGACAAAAGTCCATGAAGTGAGAATCCAAAAAACAAGAGTAAAACAAGTAAGGAAAAAGATTGGTTGTTGATCGAGAAGAGTTTTCATCACAAAGGAGAAGTTTACTTGGATTCGATTCAAAGCAGCTAGTGTTCTTGTGGAAGCATCCTGGAAATTGTAATCTTTGGAAAAAAAGGGATCACCAATTGGCTTGTATTATTATAGAATTTCAGCCAAAAGACTTTTAATGCTAAATTCTAGAAGCTAATCATTAATAGCCAGTAGATGCGATCCGGTCAATCCGATCCGGTCAATCCGATCCGACAAGGCATATGGTGACTGCACTAACCTAACTGTAGCTTTTCCTATGTTAGCTTCTAGAATTTCGGCTGGCCAGTAGACATGCGATCCGATTAATCCGATCGGATTGGCCTCGCTCACTTACGCCTTTTTGCCGTTGGCAAAATGCGTGTTTCTCAGCTTTCCCTGAACCAATTCTAAAACTTTTCGTATCATTCGATAGGAAAAGAAATTAGCTATCGAGTGATACGAAAAGTTTTAGAATTGGTTCAGGGAAAGCTGAGAAAAAAGCATTTTGTCAACGGCAAAAAGGCGAAAGTGATCGAGGCCAATCCGATCGGATTGATCGGATCGCATGTCTTCTATCTACCTATCCGATTTACCATATCTGTCTACCAATCCGATCCTATCTGTCTACCAATCCGATCGGACCATCCGAAATTCAAGAAGCTAACATAGGACAAGCCACAGTTAGGTTAGTGCAGTCACCATATGCCTTGTAAGTTTTAATACTATTTAATACTTTAATAATATTTAAATTTTGTTCCTTTATCTATCTGAATCTGACTCCTTTTCTCTCTAAATTTGGTTCCTTATCCCTCTAAATTTCCTTAATAATTTCTTAAGTTAACTAACAACTAAATGATGACATCTTTGGCTTTTATCTACCTGAAATTGTTTGCTGTGTAGCACCATAAATCTCGCAAGAAGGTAGGAACGAAAGAGCATCAAAAGAGAAAGAATTACATCGACTGGTACCTCGTGCATTGCAAAGCCATTACTCTAAAATGACAGCTACTTTCATGAATTTGTTCTGGAATCAAAAAGATGACTATAATCAAAAGACTCAATGAAACTCACCGGTTGTTGCCCATCCGCTTGAAAAACTGGGTTCCGACTCGTTTCAATGTAGGCCCATTTGAGGTGACCGGTTCCTGAAAGCAAGATTTTATGATCAAGACAAAAATTGTTGGTTTAATAGACAATTTGTATAGAATATAGGTAAATTTAAGTTTAACTAAGGGGTAAAATAAGGTATAGGACTTTACCAGGTATAGGACAAATCGCGCAAACGGAGAACTCGACAACGAATTGAGCGATTCTCCCGGTTGTCATCACCACTCTCCAATCGTCCGCTCCACAATCAACAAGATCTAGCTGAATGTTCACAATAAAGCAAATAAGCAGATAGATAAGGTTATACATTTTTCTATGAATTGTATAGCTAGTCAAAAATACGGTATCGCGGAAAAGAGATCCTTTTTATGACCCCCAAGAATACATTAAAAGTTAAAGCTCTTCAACTAAAATTTGTCTAAAAGGGGCAAAAAATTTGGAACGCTTCACGAATTTGCGTGTCATCCTTGCGCAGGGGCCATGCTAATCTTCTCTGTATTGTTCCAATTTTAGTATATGTTCATAGGAATGAACGAGACAGTGAGAAAACAGGTGCTTTTTATCACCCCCTGTCGAGTCGTGTGCTAGAAAGCGCGCGATTACGTGGTCGCACAAAAAGCACTTTGCAGTTATTTAGTTGGTTTTCTTTTCTTATCTTTAAGATGGGTTTTGGATTTAAAAAATTCTACACAGGGGTTTTCAGGATCGGGGAAGCGATTGACAATGTTTGTAAAATCAGTAATCAATCAGAATTTCGACATAAATGAAGATAAAGCAATAGCAAGATCTTGGCCCTGCTATTGCTTGTTGCTTGTCGGTTCTTGCTTGTTTCTTTACCCTTTCTCATCCAATTCTTGAACTGGTTTGAATACTTCGTATGTTTTTTTATTTTTCCAATCACTCACCACAATCTCATTGATATGATACAAGAGAATGTGAAAGAGTAAAGCCACCGTTGTCAATACTACGAAGCTTCGCATCACCAGCGAGATCACATGTTCCTAAACATTTCAGTAATCAACCTTTCATATTAATCATGTTTCACAGTAAAAAGAATCAAGTAAATCAAGTTTTCTTTCGAAAAGAGAAATTACATACTTTTGAAATCCCGAATAGATGCTGTCCAGTGATTTCTGATTCAATAATCATCAAAACAACTCCAATCATCGCCAAAGTCAGCGCCCGATCAACGATTCGAACTCGATTGTTTAATCTGAAAAGATTTTTCTAACAAAATCAAGTCTATAACCTTTGTTAACATTAAAATACTAATTTTAACTTTTATCAAAATCTACCTTTCTGCTCTCACACGATAAATAAGTTTGACAGCAGAGCTGTTGATCGGGACACCATATCTAAAAAGTATACATATATTCAATGACATAACAAATACAGAACACAACATAAAGCCTCTACTGCTCTAATACTCCTAAAGATTTGCAAAGAAGAATCCTATGTATAAGGAAAAAATGGCGAAATTTACTAGCCAAACTTCCCGACTAGGATATAAGACTATTAACCAGTCAGCCATTGCGACATTCGGTCAGAACCGATTGTTTTGAGATAAAAGAGCTTTAGCTCAATCCAATATTTATCTATTTCTCTTTTTTTAATTGTTCTTATAATCTACCTGCTATTGTTACTCCTTAAATTAAAATTCGAATGATTTCCACAAACAGAACCATTCCCTGTTTCAACAAATACACCCTCCAGAGAATCAAAATATTTTGTAATCTATGAGGAATCATTTAAGAGTAAATAAAGGAGAAGTTTACAAGAAAGATCTTTTTTTTAAGCCAATTCAATATTTATCTATTTTTAAAAATTGTTCTGATAATCTACCTGCTATTGTTTCTCCTTAAATTAAAATTCGAGTGATTTCCACAAACAGATCCATTTCCTGTTTCAACAAATGTTATATTGTTACCTAAAATCTTTCTATTCAAAGTTTTAGATAATTTGCAAAACCTCTATCAAATGAGGATTTTGTCGAATCCAAAATTGAGGACGTTATTGACGCTTTACCACGATTAATTTTCAATTGAGAGCCGGTGTCTTCAACGGTGATTACCGGTCCATGATGACCGGGTCGAAAGGCTGAAATTGGTTAATATTTTGATAACAATGTTGTTAGTTCTCTTAATAGTTTCAATGGTTAAGTACTTTTATCGAATTTTTCTCATACTACCATTTTCTGGTTCTTGATCGATAAGCAAAAATCCCTCATCCGGCCAGATCAGCCGATCGAGGCCGCGTCGGGGCATTCACACTCATAGAACACCCTCCAGAGAATCAAAATCTTTTGTAATCTATGAGGAATCATTTAAGAGTAAATAAAGGAAAAGTTTAAAGAAAGATGTGAAACGGTTAGGGATTTAAAAGGGATAGGGATTTAAAAGAATTTCGATGAATCTAGCTAACAAAAAGTTGAGTACTAATCAAGTTTTAACCCAGGAATGAAAAGATTTTGTAATCTATGAGCTTAAGTATAAAATCCACGGTACTCTTTTACTTTATGGACCCAAAAACTTTCCACTTTTTTGATGCAAGACTATTAACCAGTCGACTTCCTTCGAGGGCTGAATCAACGAAAACTATTCAACTATTCAACTTACCGATGATCAATTTCAAAAATAAACTCAAAGACATGATTACTTTAGAAATGATAGAAACTGATGAAATGATAGAAAGATGATAGAAACACAATGGATTCGCTAGACTTCCTTTCGAGGGCTGAATCAACGAAAACGAATAGTTTATGAAACTTTATGAAACGCTGATGTTCAATTTGAAAATAAATTTAAAGACATGATTACTTTAGAAAGTATAGAAACTGATGAAATGACAGAAAGATGATAGAAACTACTTGTATGGCCACCAAATGTCGTATACCTGGAAGCCATCAAAGAATTATCCGATTTAAATGTAAAACGCGCAATTTTATCCTCTAATGCTTTAGGGGTTCATAAAGTAAAAAAGTACCAAAATTGACAAAAGCTAAATCGAATCTAGACAAGTTTACCAGAAATGTAAAGCCGTAGAGTGAGGGTTTAAGATTGTTAATGAGTCAAAAGTTTAATAATCATGATTAAAAGCCAGTTTAAAAGGGTTTAAAAAAGCTAGAAACTAACAGAAAACTTGATTTTTAAGTTTAAAGTTTAAAAAAGCTTGTTTAAAAAGAGAAAAATGTTGCTAAAGCTTTTGTGAATTAAAGTTTTCTCTTTTTCTGTTTGATCATTCACCACAAGTATCAAGAATCTTTCATTTAAAAGCTTAAAAGCTTTTAAAGCTTTAAAGCTGAAAAGCTTTTTTTTGAGGCTAATAATGAGAAAGTTTCGCATAAAAAATGCATGATTCTATCTCAGAGAATGAGTTTTTTTTAAGTGTTACGTAAAGAGGCCAGATTTGGGATTTGTCTCATTCTACTTTGTCTAGGAAATTGTCTCGTCCTCTCGTCCTACTTTGTCTAGGAAATCCTAGTTTGAACAGTCAATCAAGATTAAATCTATACAACAAGAAAAATGAAAATCAGAAATTAATCAAGGTTTTTTTTAAAGAATCCGTGGCACGTCATCAAAAATTTCGCTCCAACAATATGAAAAGGGAAAAACAGGAGAAAGAAAGCGAAGAGTCACGGCCTTTCGGCGCCTAATTGACACAAATTGGTTGAGTTGAATGCTTGGCTGAAAATCAACGAGTTTTCAATGAGATTTTGCTATAACAAAAGCAATTTATTACAGATTAACATTGTTAAATTTCCTCGATTCATTTTTGCTATTGTTTATCTTACAAAATTCTTGGTTTAATAGGCTATAAAATTTAGAGTATAAAATTGTAAATACGTGTAAATGTAAACAGTGTAAACACGGGTTTTCGGGGTCGGGGAAAGGGTTGGCAATGTTTGCAAAATCGGTAATCAATCGGAATTTCGGCAAAAATGAAGATCATGTGGAACAGGTTGAGCTAGACTTTTTACTCTATCAAAGTAATAAGCGCTCAAAGTTTTATATGGAATTTTAAAAATCATCGCTCGTGTTTAGAAGCAGATTTCCCAGATGCCTTGCAGATTATTTGCAACAAGTTGAGTTACGTTATACTCGTTTTGTGTTTAGAAATGTGTCAAAGCCGCCGTTTAATTATAAAAGTTATAAAAGAAATTCTATACCCAAAATAGCCGAATTTAAGCCAAAAATTCCCAAAGATATGGAAATTTAGAGCAAAAAATTGTCAGTCGCCGGGTTTTCGGGGTCGGGGAAGCGATTGGCAATGCTTGTAAAACTAAGTATTCTTGATTCGGATTCGTTCGACACAAAAATAAGATAATTTCAAGCTGAGTTATACTTTCAAATATCTACTGGTTTTGTGTTCAGAAAAGTGTCAAAGCTGCCGTTTAATTATAAGCTCAGCTCAGCTATTTCAATTTAAACTTAAACTAGTTTTGGTTTAACAGGTTAGAAAATTTATACAAAAAATAGCCAAATTTAAGGCAAAAATTCCCAAAGATATGGTAATAGGGAAAAAAATCGGACTCAATCGCTCACCGCTCCTTCTGCTTTCCTTTTACAGACTCTAAAACGCAAGTCTAAACAGATTCTTGATTCAGATTCGTTCTACACAAAAATATACTAGTTCAACTGGTTATACTCGTTCGAAAAATCTACTGCTTTTGTGTTTAGAAAAGTTTTCAAAGTTGCCGTTTAATTAAAAAATTTTTTCAATAGTAAAGATGCAAGAATAAATTAAAAGTTTGCCTCTAAAGCTCTTCAATTAAAATTTAATTAAAGGAGAAAAAATTTGGAACGCTTCACGAATTTGCGTGTCATCCTTGCGCAGGGGCCATGCTAATCTTCTCTGTATTGTTCCAATTTTAGTATATGTTCATAGGAATGAACGAGGCTGGGGGAAACGAGGTCCTTTTTTACCACCCCCTGTCGGGCCGTGTGCTAGAAAGCGCGCGATTACGTGGTCGGACAAAAAAGCACTTTGCAATCATTTGCTTGGTTTTCTTTTCTTTTCTTTAAGATGGGTTTTGGATTTAAAAAATTGTAGACAAGGGTTTTCACACGTGGGTCGAGGAAGCGATTGGAAATGTTTGTAACATTGGTAGTCAATCGCATTTCCGACGAAAATGGCTAGCCTAAAGAGATTCTTGATTCAGACACAGGGCTTATCACATAGTGACGGTCAAAGCCAAAAGCTTATGCTCAAAAATTGTATTTTAATAAAAACTAATAACCATTGATATCAGAATAGCAAAAAATGGCGAAACTTTTCATTTTCTTTAGAATTCACTAAGTTTGTAATACTATCCTTTTCCGGGACGTGGATAAACGTATCTTGGGCTCTGAAATGAAAAGAGACTAAAGCTAACAAAGAGTGGGAAAGTTTTGTTTTGTTTTGTGAGCTTTGTTGGAAAGAATATTGATTCCTTAAATCTATTATAAATTTAAACAGAAATAGATTGACAATACTTGAAAAGAGTTATTACCTTATTCTGTCTAATAGAGGTGCACTATTTAATAATACTGCACTTTCTAATAGTATTGCGGTCCAGGAGGGGGTTCAAAAATAGTAGTGCGCACTACTATTAGAGGGAATACGGTAAATGAATTGTTAAAAGTTGTTTTAATTGCTTACAATTAGTAATTAGTAAAGGAACACTTCAGTAAAAAGTTTGACGCATTTTTTAGAATATTTAAAGAAGCAGATTTTGGAAGGAGATTCGGAATTGGCATTGCATCAAATAAAATAGTGCTCATTTGTAAAACCTCGGGTTTTAGAACTTTGTGGCCGCAGGTTTTAGAACTCTAATATTTTTTATTTTAATATTGATAACTAATATGTTTCATGTAAAATTATTATTGGATATTTACATACAAATCTTGATTAGTCAGCAATCTATGGCCAAATAAAGTCAGACTTTCATCACCAAGACATTCAGCAGAAAACAGTTTGAAGCAATTTTTGGCTAAAATGGCTTAGGCTTAGGCTTAGGCTTAGGTTTAGGTTTAGGTTTAGGTTTAGGCTTTGGCTTAAGCTTGGGCTTAGGCTTGGGCTTGGGCTTAGGCTTGGACCTCGTGCGAAGGCTAGCGGCTAGGGCCTTGCACTAAGTCTATTTGGGTTTAGGCTGAACCCCCATTGTCTGGATCTCTTAGCTCCGGTTCCTGGAGCTAAGAGACACCCGTTTGCCTTTAGGCTTAGGCTCAGGCTTAGGCTCAGGCTTAGGCCTAGGCTTAGGCTCAGGCTTAGGCTCAGTCTTAGGCTCAGGCTTAGGCCTAGGCTTAGGTTTAGGTTTGGGTTTGGGCTTAGGCTTATTTGTAACCTTTACACTAATACTTGTTCTATTCTTGAGTTCAACCTTTCCATATTCTCCTTAAATGGAAATATTTCGATTCTAGAAAAACAAACGTTGACTATCCAACGAGTCTCTGGAGCAATCGACTCGTGTGTACGCTGGAGGCATTTGTCCAAGCTTTTTCCTCGCCGAGAGCAGATTTCGGAATTGTTGCCGTGAGCCGTTCAACCGCAGAAAATCGGCGCTCACCTGAAATTTTGATTGTTTTCTGGCAAATGTTCTCTCTCGATCAATTCTCAGCTATACTGTTAGTTTTGAACGGTGCTACGGAACAATGCTCAAGAAATTTGTGAAACAACAATGTGTCTGGGGATTACCTCTTCCCAGGGAGTCACACGAAGATCCTGAAACTGTAAACAAAAATGGAAGACTTGGAAATGGATTCCAGAATTGAAAGATAGTGCTAAAGAGATAGAAGTGTGGTAAAAAAAAGAGTTCAAAACTGTTTAGACAGATGGGATTTGGTGAGTGAAATGGTTTTGGTTTTGGTTTTGAAAAAAACATATCAATTAGAAGTGGGTAACAGTTCTAATAGATTAGGATTATTGTTTTGCACCAAATTTCACTTGTCCTTTAGATTTTTAGATCTGGTAAAACTGGTAAAACTGGTAAAACTTCAAGCTTTCCCGGCACACCACTTCTTTCAATGATCGACAGAGTGGCGCCCGCACTCATTTCAGATTCTCCAGCTTAGCGAAGAGTCAATCAATCAATCAAATTCTTTTTTTATTATCAAATTGAATATTTCTCGTGCAGTGTATTTCCTGGATTTGATCAGAAAAGTTTCTAAACATTTTGCTAGAGCGCTGCAAAGTTGCGACACGCTGCGACTGCAGCAAAGTTGCGACACGCTGCAACTGCAGCGGAATCGTTATTTTCTGGTTTTTGTAACTAGTTTCAATGGCTCAAAATCAAAGAAAACCAACTTCATTTACTCCTTTTTATGATTTCCAAAATCTAGCTCATTTTTACTAGAAACAATGAATTTTGATTAGAGATTAAAGTTCAAAATGTTGAACTGAGTGCAGGTAATTGTGCGCCACCCTGTAGAGAAGCTGAGTATGCCAAAACATGTGCATTTGCCCAACAAAGTACGACCAGTTTCCCAACACTTCTCAAAGTTACCTCTTGAAATGAGCTGTCTCTCCTTTTCGGTACTAATGGTTCCTTGAGTTTATTGTTTGCATCTTTAGCTTGTTGTGGGGAATTATTAGGAGTGATTGGGATTTCTTTAGGTTGTGATCCCATCCAAACACCCGATTCGATTGATCTTCTCCCTTCTCTTCTCGTATTTCTCGCAGTTTGTGGACTGTTAGGGCTAGAGCTGACGGGAAGTGATGAATATTGATCTCGCAAAGGGATCAAATCCCCTGTTCGAACCTTCATACCTTCAAATGATCGGTTTAACAAAATACAAAGCAGATAATAAGACACAATTTGGTATAGTTATTCAATTAGTTATAAAGCTTGTAGTTAAACAAGTAGTTAAACAAGTTAAAAAAGTAGTTAAACAAGTTAAACAAGTTAAACAAGTCAAACAAATAGTTAAACAAGTCCAGATAAAGTTAAATAAAATAAATAAAGCTAAAAGTTCTGGCTTCAAGCAACTTAAGCTTTCCCATAAGCAATGAAAACAAAGCGTGATAAAATTTGAACAGTTTTAGACTCTGAAAGTCGATTTTTCTAAGTATAGACTAAAAAGAACATTATTTTATATCAATAAAATGATGAAAATATAGATATAAGCCTAATGATCGGTTTTTAAAGATACAAAGCATATAATAAGACACAATTTGGTATAGTTATTCAATTAGTTATAAAGCTTGTAGTTCAACAAGTTAAACAAGTAGTAAAAATATGTTAAACAAATAGTTAAATAAGTTAAACAACTTAAACAAGTAGTTAAACAAGTTAAAAAAGTAGTTAAACAAGTTAAAAAAGTAGTAAAAATATGTTAAACAAGTAGTTAAATAAGTTAAACAACTTAAACAAGTAGTTAAACAAGTTAAACAAGTAGTTAAACAAGTTAAACAAGTAGTTAAACAAGTTAAACAAGTTAAACAAGCCCAACAAATCAAACAAATAGTTAAATAAGTCCAGATAAAGTTAAATAAAATAAATAAAGTTAAAAGTTCTGGCTTCAAGCTTTCCCATAAGCAATAAAAACCAAGCGTGATAAAAATTTGAACAGTTTTAGACTCTGACAGTCTATTTTTCCAAGTAAAGACTAAACAGAACATTATTTTATATCAATAAAATGATGAAAATATAGATATAAGCCTACGTAATTGATTTGAAAATGTAGATTTCTTTTTGATCTCAAAAAAATCACTCAACAATGATTAATTCGCATCACTAATCCCCGTTGCGTAGTCAAAAGTTAGTAGTTTTCAAAAAACCAAATCGATTTAAGTGGGAAAAAGGAAATTTCAATTTCTTGAGAAGGATTGTAGCGGGGAAAATTCTTGAAAATCCCGAGTAAACTTTTATTGGATCGCGAGAGAGATTGGAGACAAGAATGGGATTTTAAAAGAGAAATTCTTGAAAAGCTTTAGGAGATTTTAAAACTAATTTTAAGATATAAAGCTTTTATCATAGATAGTTTATTTTTTTAAAGTACCGCCCCCAAGTGTCCCCATTACCAGAGGCAAGCTATGTTTTTTGCCTTTTTCTTGTCACTCGCTTGACCGATTTGGCTACACTTTGTTTCATTCGATAGATATTAATCAGAGCTATCGAATGAAACAAAGTGTAGCCAAATCGGTTAAGTGAGCAGCGCGTTTGCCTCTGGCAATGGGGAGACTTATGGGCATAGGTCAAAAGTATAAGATAAATAGCTTTATCATCAATGAATTAAGATCTTTATGATCTTCTTTACCAATCAAATTCTCAAAAACAGAGATCAAAGAAAAGAAAATAAGAAATTCTTAAAAGCAAAAGGTTCATTTATTTTTTTGATATTAGTTTAACAAGTGTTAAAGACTGAAAAATACCGTAAATACTGTAATAACCCCAGCCCCATAATGACGGTGCGGAGTGTTGCGTAGTCTAGCTTTGAACGAGTTTTTCTCGACACTGGCTTATGCTACAATGCGCGTTTAGGTATCAAAAAATAGCTGAAATTCAGGGCTATTTTTTGATACCAAAGACGCTTTTTTGATACCAAAGATAATGACGGTGCGGAGTGTCGCGTAGTCTAGCTTTGGACGCGTTTTTCTCGACACTGGTTTATGCTACAATGTGTGCTTAGGTATCAAAAAATAGCTGAGATTCAGGGCTATTTTTTGATACTAAAGACACATTTTTTGAAAGTAGGAGCGCTTTGAAAAAAATGAAATACTAAAAAACTTTTGCGACTACGCGACTGTACGAGGGGGGTGGGGTACTATTACAGTATTTACGGTAAGTGAAATTCCTTTGTTTTATATTTTCAAGAGTTCTGTGAGTCTGAAAGATTTCAGAGATTTCAAACTAAAAACTATCCCGTTAAATTTGTGACTTATTCAGGTTTATTGTATGAAGTGAAGATGAAAATTTCTACTTTTAAAAGCTTCTCCAAATTTCGGGAAAAGGTTAAGCCTGGATTTTCTTTGGATTAATGGAGTGGTTGATTTCGAAAAGATAAAACAGGCTGAACGAAAAATATTTACGCGTAATGAGCGTTCAGGGAATTGAAAGGAAAGTTTGAAAGGCTAAAAAAAGAGATTAAATGTTTACGAAAACTTTAAAAAGCTCAGAATTATTGTTTAGAAATTTGGAAATAGAAAATTTTGTCAAAATCAAATAAAACAACTTTTGATTTGCTCAGAATAGTTTTGCTTGTTTTTCTGATTAAAATTAACACTATAAAATTTAGACTAAAAAATTGTACACAAGGGTTTTCGGGGTCGGGGAAGCGACGGGCAATGTTTGTAAAATAAGTAATCAATCGGAGTTTCGACAAAAATGAAGATTATTTGCAACAAGTTGAGTTTATACTGCTTTTGTTTTAATGGAACTATAAAGGAACTTTAAAGAAACTAAAGAGGAACTATTATGGAACTTCAAAGGAACTCTAAAGGAACTATAAAAGAACTCTAAAGGAACTATAAAGAAACAACAAGTTTATACTGCTTTTGTGTTTAGAAAAGTGTCAAAGCTGCCATTTAATTATAAAAGTTTTAAAAGAAGATTTATACCCAAAATAGCGAATTTAAGCCAAAAATCCCCAAAGAAATGGGAATAGAGAAAAAGAATCGGCTCAGTCGCCGCTCCTTTTCCTTTCACGGATTCTAAATCGCAAGTCTAAAGCGATTCTTGATTCAGATTCGTTCTACACAAAAATTTACTAGTTCAACTGGTTATACTCATTCGAAAAATCTACTGCTTTTGTGTTTAGAAAAGTTTTCAAAGTTGCCGTTTAATTATAAAATTTTTCAATAGTAAAGATGCAAGAATACATTAAAAGTTTGTCGCTAAAGCTCTTCAATTAAAATTTGTCTAAAAGGGCAAAAAATTTGGAACGCTTCACGAATTTGCGTGTCATCCTTGCGCAGGGGCCATGCTAATCTTCTCTGTATTGTTCCAATTTTAGTATATGTTCATAGGAATGAACGAGTCGGTGAGAAAACAGGTGCTTTTTATGACCCCCTGTCGGGTCGTGTGCTAGAATGCGCGCGATTACGTCTTCGTACAAAAAGCACTTTGCAGCCATTTACCCATTTGCAGGTAGTTGGTTTTCTTTTCTTAAGAATTTCATCTTTTTCTCAGTCGCCGCTCCTTTTTCTTTACGGATTCTAAATGGCAAGCCTAAAGAGATTCTTGATTCAGGTTCGTTCTACACAAAAATATACTAGTTCAACTGGTTATACTCATTCAAAAATCTACTGGTTTTGTGTTCAGAAAAGTGTCAAAGCTGCCGTTTAATTATAAAATAATGAGCGTTCAGTGAATTGAAAGGAAAGTTTGAAAGGCTAAAAAAAGAGATTAAATTTTTACGAAAACTTTAAAAAGCTCAGAATTATTGTTTAGAGATTTGGAAATAGAAAATTTTTTTTAAATCAAATAAAACAACTTTTGATTTGGTCAGAATTTGGTAATTTATGTTTGAAAAAATAATTTTGCTTGTTTTTCTGATTAAAATTACAACACTTAAGTGGGAAAAAGGAAATTTCAATTTCTTGAGAAGGATTGTAGCGGGGAAAATTCTT